AACGTGGAAGGTTTAATAGAGGAAGGTACACTAGCGGCTCTGATATCTAGTGTTCGGATGGAACTTTACCAGTACCATCTAAATCACCGCACACTCAGTGCGAGACAGTCAACGGTCGCTGTACCTGGGGCACCACAGGTACAGCAAGACTGCCTTCACACCTGTGATACTAAGACACTACCGCAGCGCACAGTTGCGGTTGCTTCTTGCAGCTACCCTACCAAAGGTACCACATCATTAATGAACGAATTATAGCAATAACCTCTGTCTAGGGATTTTGTTTTGACGAGAAAATAACAAAAAAAAAATCAACCCTTGTTCCCATAATAGACACTGCCTCAAAATATGCCCAGGTGCCAGGCACCATCAGGCTGCGGTGCCAGGTTCCACCAGGCTCCGGTGCCAAGCCTGGGATGAAATCTTGCTGGGGTATTGTAGAGTGAGGGTTCACTCCTCGCTGATAACACTACCACAAACTTTCCCGTCGGGTTTTCTTACTTTGCTTTACATACTAATAAAACAGAATACAGACTGAAGCTTGACATTAATTTGAACAATAACACCAGCTCAAGCGATTATTATTATTATTATTATTATTATTATTATTATTATTATTATTATTATTATTATTATTATTATTTTTATTATTATTATTATTGTTATTATTATTATTATTATAATTATTATTGTTATTATTATTATTATTATTATTATTATTATTATTATTATTATTATTATGAGAGAGGGGGAGACCTCCTCCTGCATGGTGATGAAGATAACTCGCCAAAAGACAGCCACATCTCCAGCTCTAACAGTGAGAGACGACGACAGCAGCAGCAACAGCAGCAGCAGCAGCAGCAGCAGCAACAGCAGCAGCAGCAGCAGCAGCAGCAGCAGCAGCAGCAGCAGCAGCAGCAGCAGCAACAGCAGCAGCAGCAGCAGCAGCAGCAGCAGCAACAGCAGCAGCAGCAGCAGAAGGATATTCAACAATGCCTCTAGTATCCTTGAACTTGATTACTCTCACCTGAGACGACTGTTATCACCCTCTCAGTGCTTCTTATAAAGATAACTTATGATAACTGGAGGCGCTTATCAACCATCACGGGTTTTCCGTTTTATAAAATGCATATTATTATTATTATTATTATTATAATTATTATTATTATTATTATTATTATTATTATAATTATTATTATTATTATTATTATTATTATTATTATTATTATTATTATTATTATTATTATTATTATAATAATAATAATTATTATTATTATTATTATTATTATTATTATTATTATATTATTATTATTATTATTATATTATTATTATTATTATTAATAATATCAATGGGGAGTGGTAAACCCGTAGAGGAGTGCCTGAAGAATGGAATTGAGTCAGGTTTGATCTGAGGAAGGGGATCATAAGTCCGCTCTATAGTATAAACGCCTAAAAATTGTTGCATATGTTGTTACAAATTATTATAAGACGGTGACGGCTACTGAGGACAAGTAGAGGATTGAAACCAGAGACGACTGGTGTTTTCTCTCTGCTGATCTTATACATGACTCGCTTCGTGGAGATTTTGGCTATGTGACCGAGTCCTTCCACCGGCTCACCGGCAGGTCTCATGCAAAGCTATGCAAGAGACAGAATTACAGCGTAGAAATTGACAGTATATTTCGATCTCCATCTTAGATCTGATGAAGAAGATCTCAGACTGAGGTCATAATGAAGTCTGTTTCTAGACTGAGGTTGTGTGTCCATGTGGGTTCCTAGCTTCCTTGACCAGTGTCCATTATACATGTGGGTTCCTGGCTTCCTCGACCAGTGTCCACTACACATGTGGGTTCCTGGCTTCCTCGACCAGTGTCCACTACACATGTGGGTTCCTGGCTTCCTCGACCAGTGTCCACTACACATGTGGGTTCCTGGCTTCCTCGACCAGTGTCCACTACACATGTGGGTTCCTGGCTTCGTCGATCAGTGTCCACTACACATGTGGGTTCCTGGCTTCGTCGACCAGTGTCCAATACACATGTGGGTTCCTGGCTTCGTCGACCAGTGTCCACTACACATGTGGGTTCTTGGCTTCCTTGACCAGTGTCCATTATACATGTGGGTTCCTGGCTTCCTCGACCAGTGTCTACTACACATGTGGGTTCATGGCTTCGTCGACCAGTGTTCACTACATATGTGGGTTCCTGGCTTCGTCGACCAGTGTCCACTACACATGTGGGTTCTTGGCTTCCTCGACCAGTGTCTACTTCACATGTGGGTTCCTGGCTTCTTCGACCAGTGTCCACTACACATGTGGGTTCCTGGCTTCGTCGCCCAGTGTCCACTACACATGTGGGTTCCTGGCTTCGTCGACCAGTGTCCACTACACATGTGGGTTCCTGGCTTCCTCGGCCAGTGTCCACTACACATGTGGGTTCCTGGCTTCCTCGACCAGTGTCTACTACACATGTGGGTTCCTGGCTTCGTCGACCAGTGTCCACTACACATGTGGGTTCCTGGCTTCGTCGACCAGTGTCCACTACACATGTTGGTTCCTGGCTTCCTCGACCAGTGTCTACTACACATGTGGGTTCCTGGCTTCGTCGACCAGTGTCCACTACACATGTGGGTTCCTGGCTTCGTCAACCAGTGTCCACTACACATGTGGGTTCCTGCCTTCCTCGACCAGTGTCCACTACACATGTGGGTTCCTGTCTTCGTCGACCAGTGTCCACTACACATGTGGGTTCCTGCCTTCCTCGACCAGTGTCTACTACACATGTGGGTTCCTGGCTTCGTCGACCAGTGTCTACTACACATGTGGGTTCCTGGCTTCGTCGACCAGTGTCCACTACACATGTGGGTTCCTGGCTTCCTCGACCAGTGTCTACTACACATGTGGGTTCCTGGCATCGTCGACCAGTGTCCACTACACATGTGGGTTCCTGTCTTCGTCGACCAGTGTCTACTACACATGTGGGTTCCTGGCTTCGTCGACCAGTGTCCACTACACATGTGGGTTCCTGGCTTCGTCGACCAGTGTCCACTACACATGTGGGTTCCTGGCTTCCTCGACCAGTGTCTACTTCACATGTGGGTTCCTGGCTTCGTCGACCAGTGTCCACTACACATGTGGGTTCCTGGCATCGTCGACCAGTGTCCACTACACATGTGGGTTCCTGCCTTCCTCGACCAGTGTCTGCTACACATGTGGGTTCCTGGCTTCGTCGACCAGTGTCCACTACACATGTGGGTTCCTGGCTTCGTCGACCAGTGTCCATTATACATGTGGGTTCCTGGCTTCGTCGACCAGTGTCCACTACACATGTGGGTTCCTGGCTTCGTCGACCAGTGTCCACTACACATGTGGGTTCCTGGCTTCGTCCACCAGTGTCCACTACACATGTGGGTTCCTGTCTTCGTCGACCAGTGTCCACTACACATGTTGGTTCCTGGCTTCCTCGACCAGTGTCTACTACACATGTGGGTTCCTGGCTTCGTCGACCAGTGTCCACTACACATGTGGGTTCCTGTCTTCGTCGACCAGTGTCCACTACACATGTGGGTTCCTGTCTTCGTCGACCAGTGTCCACTACACATGTTGGTTCCTGGCTTCCTCGACCAGTGTCCACTACACATGTGGGTTCCTGGCTTCGTCGACCAGTGTCCATTACACATGTGGGTTCCTGGCTTCGTCGACCAGTGTCCACTACACATGTGGGTTCCTGCCTTCCTCGACCAGTGTCCACTACACATGTGGGTTCCTGGCTTCGTCGACCAGTGTCTACTACACATGTGGGTTCCTGTCTTCGTCGACCAGTGTCCACTACACATGTGGGTTCCTGCCTTCCTCGACCAGTGTCTACTACACATGTGGGTTCCTGGCTTCGTCGACCAGTGTCCACTACACATGTGGGTTCCTGGCTTCGTCGACCAGTGTCCACTACACATGTGGGTTCCTGTCTTCGTCGACCAGTGTCCACTACACATGTGGGTTCCTGCCTTCCTCGACCAGTGTCTACTACACATGTGGGTTCCTGCCTTCCTCGACCAGTGTCCACTACACATGTGGGTTCCTGGCTTCGTCGACCAGTGTCCACTACACATGTGGGTTCCTGGCTTCGTCGACCAGTGTCCACTACACATGTGGGTTCCTGGCTTCGTCGACCAGTGTCTACTACATTTTGATGCTACATGATCATGTTATATAGTATGTAGTAAACATGTCTGTAGAGTTTCTTAAGAAGACGACGAAAGATTTTCTTTAGAAACGGAGTAAATTATTATATGAACAGAGAGAAGATATATTTAGCACCTGGCGAGATAATGATGTAAATCTGCTGAGGACACTCCGGTCAGTTATGTAACTTGAGAGGAAACACATTATTCTTTTCTACTAAACAAAAGTAGTGAAAATGTTGATTTTCGTTTCAGAAATCAATAAACAGGAAACATCTAGGGAAGAGTTAATGTGACGTTACCAGTTATATTGTTACCTGTGTTGCCTCTCCGTCTATTTACAGATACATCAGTGCCTTCGACTGTAAGTTCTCAGTTTACAATCGAAGGCACAGGTGGTTCTATTCCCGGGCTGGGCGAGAACTATGAACAAGCCCTTGTTCACCTAGCAGAAATCAGGTACCTGGGTGTTAGTCAGGTGTTGTGGCTCTCATCCTGGGAAACAGTTCGCCTTAAAGAGTGCTGAACTTCACCCGCCACATAACTACTCTTAACCTGTTATTTAAACTATGTAAACCCTACAAACACCATAATAAAACATTAAGATCAACATTATTCCTATTATTATCACCACCAGCACTACCACCATTATCTTTATCACCATCCTTGTAATTAGCATCATCACAATAATATATTGGTGTGTGTATGTGTCTGTGTGTGTGTGTGTGTGTGTGTGTGTGTGTGTGTGTGTGTGTGTGTGTGTGTGTGTGTGTGTGTAAATTTTCTTGCTTCATTTTATTAGTGGGTACACAAAAATACATAAATAGTTATTATTACTGTTATAATTTAGTAATGGATTCTCGGAGACTCTCTGTGAGTCACATGTCTGACAGAACTCACCACTGGATTGAGCAGAGGTCACTAGTGTGGGGGAGGGGGAGCAACTCCAGTGGTGTCCAGACTAAGGAAACACTTTCAGAATCAGTGGTAACGTCAGCCATGGCAACATCACCATCTTTGACAAGTCTGGCAGCTATCACTCAACTTGCAAGAATAAATGTGGTCCGCAACAGTGATAAAAGCTTTTTGCTGATCACGTTGTCGTGATACTTCCTGATGACAGCACCATCACATTGATGTCCCTTCTCCTTCATACAGAATTTATCACTGATGTGCTGGCAGCATCCATGGCGGGGGACTGAGGTGGTATGTGGACTGGGAGAGTGACTCTGTGGAGCAGACACGACACTCGGAGGTGAACCAGGTGCAACAAAGGTCGACACAGTTTCGTCTCAGCTCGACGTAGAGCAAAATAGATCGGAACGGATGCAGTACAGTTGCAATACAGGTGGAGCAAGTCTCAGCACCTCAGTAACTTGCGGGACCTAGCGGACACGAGGAAAGTTTTTAGTAAGATATACAAAGCGAGAAGAAGAGTTTTTATGAGGCCGGAATATAGTCATTCTGGAGTTAGAATGTTGCAACTCATTCAAGGTTATGTTAGAAAACATCCTGACATTTTGTATAAGTTCAACATCTGGACTTAGAATGTTCACAATTGATGCATCTAAAGATGAAACGTGTTGCAGAGAAACACTGAATTGACACGTGCAGTGCACTTTGTGGCTGTATTGAACGAAACACTAAACAAAAAAAAAATCACATTATCCTAAAAGCAACATTATATTTAAGGAAGAACTGTGTAGGTCAGTAACTACTGACCTCGTGGCCACAGGGCACAATGTTACCTCCTGACACCGACAATTCTTCCATAAGCTGCTGCAGTCATAAGAGTGTTACATTTTATACTATATTTACAGGAATGTAAGGAAATCTGAATAAATATTACCTTGTACCCATAACACTGATAGTCTTTTAGAAAGTGATTTGGAACAAGAGTGCAGTCTATCATGAACTAGGACATCGTTAAAGTTTGGTTGAGATTGTTTTAATATAAATAACGCAGTTGTAAGATTGTAGCCTGAATCAGTCGTATTAAAGAGTAATTCGTAAATCGCTTGTACGACGAAAGAAAACGGGAAAGTTGTTTATCGTACGATACAGACATGACTGTCATCGTTACTGTCACATAATATCATTCTTAGCAATCAATATTTCCGATTAGAGGGGGACGTACAAAGAATTATAACTGGTAAAGGGCAAATGTCTGCTGGTCAAGGAGATGGAAGAAAGGAAAAGTGAGAGAAACCTCTCGATGAGATAAAATTACCACAGCCTCGATGTTATGAAACAAATGAAGTCTGCTGGATCAGATTTAAGAAGCTACGACCTTGATATTGAGCCTAAACACCTTTGCAAGAGGACCTTTAATAAAAGATGATAAGGGAGTATCTGGAGATGGTCCGAGTGACTCACTTCACACAGGGTTCAACAAATGACCTAAAATATACATGACTGATATGGTTGAGCAGCAGCTCCTGGCTCTGCTTCTTAATCTACTTATGGTTTGCGTTTTAAGATCCTGGCCTCTTAGCTTCCATCGTACCTAGCACTGAAACAATGTATGGAGAGTGCACATACTGCTGCCTTATCCAGTTCATTCCTCTTGTTTATTTCTCTAAGAGATAAAACAGCTGTTTTACCTCCTTGTTGATAATTTGAAAGTTTAGCTGTTCTGCTCCCTGCTTCTGTTGCTCGTGTTTTAAGCCATCTGTCCTTATCCATTATATTATTACTATTATTACAATCACGTACAGTAATATGGAAAATATTTCCTCAATAAAATATCCTAATGCTACATATGTGTCTCATCCACATTGCTGCTACTTTTTCTATGTCTTGTGTGTGGGATTCGACCAAAAACCTTATTGAAATCCGTGTAAAAATCGCATTTTTTGCTACCTTGGTACATTGCCTTATATATCTTACCTTGAGAAGGTTAGTAAATTTGTAAGACAAGAACAGCCCCTTGTTAAAACTTATTAATCAAATTATGTTCATGAAAATGGCTCCCTATTATATCTGCTATTATTATTGATTCCTAAAGTTTTCTTATAATCGAGGTCAGGCTTATTTGGCGGAAATTTGATGGTATGAACTTATGTCCTCATTCGAAGATAGGAATTACATTAGTCGTCTTCCACGTATCCGACACGACACTTATTACAGCGAACAAAAGCTACTGGTACCATCTGGCACTTTCCAAGTACTGTTGTAAACAGTTCGTCGGGATCCGGGGACATTGCTTAAATTGGTCAACGTGTTTGATAATCACGGCCTTAGTAACAGTGATGTTACGTGGCTGAAAATCACGGCCTTAGTAACAGTGATGTTACTTAATTTATTTTCTTCAGACCTCTTATGATTGTTAATTACTGCAATGTCATTTGCCTCGTACTTGTAAACAAGGTTATGTGACAAGACCTGGGAGTCATGGTAAGCAGAAATATGAAGCCATGACAACGGTGCCTAACCATGTGTAATAAGGCTAACAGACTGATTAGATTACGTACAAATAACGGGAGTATTATTATTATTATTATTATTATTATTATTATTATTATTATTATTATTATTATTATTATTATTATTATTATTATTATTATTATTATTATATTTAAAGCGAAGCACTAAACCCGTAGGTGGTCATACAGTGCCTGGGAAATCGGATGTAATCAGATTCGATTAAAGTCTAATTCCCTGGATCAAGTGTCTCACGAGCATCAGCAAAGTCATCCTAGAGGGTCGAGAGCACAAAGGTTATACAACAGTTCTATTCATCATCAGAAGAACCTCACTATAAACTCTACAGAATGGATTTAAATGCATGGGAGTATATATAGAGAGTAACGTCAAATTTATCCACTGAATTAGGAATTTTATGTACGAGGACAGATTGAGAACATTGAACTTACACTTTCTTGAAAGACGTAGAATGAATGGCGATGTGACTGAACTATACAGGTGGAAGATAGGTCTTAAAAAGATTTAAAAAGGGTGCTAAGATTATCTTATCAAGAAAGAATGTGAAACAAACGATTCCATCTGGATAAACTTCGATTTATGAAGGAAACAGGAAAGCACTGTTTTAGCACTGAAGCTGTAAGTTAGTTTCACAATATTCCAAGTGGAGTCAATCGACTTTTCCCTCTGGCGCCGCATGGTCAACCTGCTCTGACTGATTAAAAGTCTCTACAGTCCAGGTTTTCTCCAGTGTCCCAGACAACTGTTTCTCCCTGGGTAACTAACTTTACAAGCAACATATGGGTATATGGTCATAAGAACATGAGAATGGAGGAACACTACGGAAGGCCTACTGGCCCATACAAGGCAGGTCCTTATCAAAACCACCCCTATCCTAGGATACCCAAGAATATACTCCCGTACCCACGACACCAATCAAACCCAGACCCATCCACACATATTTGTTCAATCTCTTTTTAAAGCTGCCCAAGGTCCTAGCCTCGATCACCCTACTCGGAAGATTGTTCCACGCGTCCACAACTCTGTTCGAAAACCAGTAGTTACCTATGTCCTTTCTAAATCCAAATTTATCCAACTTAAATCCATTATTCCTGGTTCTTACCTGGTTCGACACCCCTCAGTACTTTATTAATATCATCTTTGTTTATGCCCGTCATCCACTTATACACCTCGATGATATCTCCCCTCATACTACGTCTCTCCAGAAACTGGAGATTCAAGGCTCTAAGTCTATCTTCATACGGGAGATTCCTTATACAGTAAATCATTTTAGTCATCCTTCTCTGTATGTTCTCCAATGAGTCTATATCTATACTGTTGTAAGGAGACTAAAACTGAGTGGAATAATCCTAAATGAGGCCTCAGTAGTGATGTGATAAATGGTTTTGAAAACCGCAGTTTGAAGATTGAGACACCTATGCAACATATGGGAATCTTTATTGAGGAAACGTTTCGCCACACAGTGGCTTCATCAGTCCAATACAAAACAGAAATGGGTTAGGAGAGGATGAGTGTGAGGCAATCAGTCCCTCAGCCTGGAGGGACTGATTACCTCAAACTCCTCCTCTCCTAACCCATTTCTACTTTATATTGAACCGATGAAGCCAGTGTGTAGGGAAACGTTTCCTTAATAAAGATTCCCATGTGTTGCATAAGTGTCTCAATCCTCACTAGTGATGTATAGAGCTGTAAAATAACTTTTGGACTTCTGTTACTTATACTTCTTGAAATAAATCCTAGTAATCTGTTAGCCTTATTGGGCACACTTAGGCACTATTTTCTTGGCTTTAGATTTCTGCTTACTATGACTCCCAAGTCTTTTTCACATTCTGTATGATCAAGCTCTACTTCACCTGGTTTATAACTTCGAGGGTTATTTTCATTACCAAGGACTAGTACTTTACACATGTCCACAGTGAACTTCATCTACTATTTTTCATACCAAGACATTAATTTGTTCAAATCCTCCTGGAGTTCATTGGTATCCTCTTCAGAATGAACTATACAACCTATTTTTGAATCATCAGCAAATTTGCTCATGTCGCTTGTAATTCCTTCATCAAGGTCATTAACGTAGATTGTGAACAACAGAGGGCCTACAAATGATCATTGTGGAACGCCACTAGTGACTAATCCCCATTCATATTTGACCCCATTAATGGAAACTCTCTGCTTTCTATTGGTTAACCATGCCTCTATCCATACTAGAACTTTTCCTCCTATACCATGAGCTGCCACTTTTCTTAAGAGACTTTTGTGACGTACTCTATCGAAGGCTTTACTGAAATCCAAATTAACAATATCATATTCTTTATCACTGTTTACTGCCTCAAATGTTTTATTGAAGAACGTCAGTAAATTTGTCAGGCAGAAACGACCTATCGTGAACCCATACTGAGATTCATTAATCAAATTATGCTCTTCAACATGACTTCTAATAATATCAGCTATAATTGATTCTAATAATTTGCCTACTATAGACGTCAGGCTGATTGGACGGTAATTTGATGGAATGGACTTATCCCCTGATTTGAATATAGGAACCACATTAGCTACATTAGATAGAAGTATCGGTAAGAAGGGGGTAGCGCTCTGTGTCCGAGATCGTCTAAATTGTTGCATAAAAACTGGTATAAAGTCTGTAATAACACATACAGAGTTTGTCTGGATAGAATTTTCAAAAGGGTATGAGAAATTGATTTTAGGCGTGATATACCGTCCCCCAAACTTAGATAGGGACCAAGGGAGACTCCTTTGAGAGGAAACTGTTAAGACCACAAGGCACGATAACGTAGTAATTCTAGGGGACTTTAACTTTAGTCAGATTGATTGGAATTTTTTGACTGGGAATTTAGAATCTGTGATAAAAGGTTTAAAACCGACAAGTTGAAGATTGAAACACTTATGCAACATATGGGAATCTTGATGAAAGTTAAGACAC